TAAAAAATGGGGGATTCCATTTAAATAATTTAATGTGACCTTCGTCTGATCTTGACAACTCCACCTAAAATCAAATCAATGATACCATCTTATGTCTCCTTCGAAACGATACAACTTTCGTTTGAAACATTTTTTTGTATCTTCCATATTTTTTGAGATATTTGCCTGGGGCGATTAAAATAAAACACACTGTATGTATATATGTGTATGTATATATATATAATATATTTTAGAATAAATGCATTTTTTATGAGTAATTCAATTACAATAGCTAATTGTTAAACTTTCGATTACAATATATTAAAATTTTCACAAACAATCTATGTAAGTATACATATATACACATTTACTTTTAATTTAAATAACATTATAAGATATTATTTGTAATACTTACCAAAAAGTGAGAATAGAAATTACATTTGCGTTTTGTCGTGGATTTTTTGGATATTTTTGTCGATCGTTGCTTATCATGGTGACTCATAAAAATTTTATGCATCTTCAAATATGTTTCATTTTAAATACAGAGAAAGAGAACTGGACTACCTATATGTTTTTTAATTAGTCCTGAAAATAATTAATTAAAATAATAAAATAAGATAACGGGATCGAGAACGTATGAAAGATATTCTATAGATCAAACGACTTTATTTTAATTATATTTTTGATGAATTAACATCAAGAAAAATGTGAAAGAAGGCCATCATTGACCTCAAGTCTCTAATTTTCAATATATACATATTTTATTCTTACACATTTGATAATTAATTTAACCAAATTTAATTGAAAGTCGTTCACTTAATAATTAAAATGAGCTAATTCAATTGATGATAATCCAATTAACGATTGATTTAAACAAAATTAATCGGAAATCGCCTAATTGATGAATGATTTAAGAAGGTGTTTTTGCTTTTAGCATGAGTTTCAAAAAAATTGATTTTTTCCATTTTTAAATACTCTAAACCTTTAAAATATATTTTGAGAACTCAAATTGCCTAAAAATTATTTAGAGAATCAATTTTTTCCGATTTATGCATTTTTTAAAGAAATAGTACATCTATTCTAAAATTGTTACCACGACAACTCGTACAGTTTTAATCCGATGAACTTAAAATTTTAAAGAAATGTTCCATCACTTATCTTTCTCGGCTAAACTACCACGAAATAAAAATTTCAATTTTTTAATTTTTGCAGCAAGAAAGAATATTCATCCCTATTTGAATATTCTGAACTTACAAAAATTTATCTCCATACCAAACAATAGTTCTGGCATATGGTGTAACTGCAGTCATTGTTATGGCCTTATAAAATGTAAACTGATAATGACACAATTTACAATGACGGATTAAACACGTTTCTATTTACCACGTTTACACAATTGAATTTACACCGAAGTTATAACTTCAGTTTTATATTAAAAATATTATTAAATAATAGCTGTTCTTTCGCTCACATGACATTTTTTCGCTGTAGTGAAAAACACTCTCAAATGACCATTCCCGGATTAAGAACAAATATAAAAAATTATGAGAAATGTACTTACACTTGTGTTACACTTGTTTTACGTTGATATTTTTCGTTAAGTATTAAAATTAATTATAAAATAAAAATCGTTAATTATAAGATATTCTCTAACTAGGAGTATTTATTTTTGGTAACTATATAGGAACGATCCTTCGGCTTGCGCTCCTCAGCTTATATTGCGGCTATAACTGTGACAATTGCGTTGACGTTGTTGTACGAAAATAAAGACCGTAGACCAAAAGACGTGAAAGGTTGCCGAGATTTGTAAACAAATCATGATGTATCCACACACTTCTATAACAGATTGCTAACTCAATGTGATAGAAAGAGATGAATCTGATTCCGAATTGTCCTTGTTTCAGTTTCCATGTGCGTATGTAGGTATGCGTCCTGTCTATGAGTATCGCGTGTTTATATGAAATGAAAATACTATGTTAGTCATAACAGAAATTATCGACGGTCACATCTTAAATTCAGAATATTCAGAAATAAAGATGAATATTCCTTTTATCTGCAAAAATAAAAAAAGTTGAAATTTTTATTTGATGGTAGTTTAACCGAGAAAGGCAAGTGTTGCAAACATTTCTTTAAAATTTTAAGTTGATCGGATTAAAATTGTACGAGTTATCGTGGCAATCATTTTAGAATATATTATTTCTAAAAAAAATGCATAATTCGGAAAAAATCGATTCTTTAAATAGTTTTTAAGTAACTTGAATTCCCGAAATATTTCAAAATATATTCTAAAGGTTTAGAGTATTCAAAAATGGAAAAAATCGATTTTTTGAAACTCATGCTAAAACCAAAAATACCCTCTTAAATCAATCATCAATTATGAGATCTTTGATTAATTTTGTTTAAATCAGTCGTTAATTGGATTGTCATCAATTGAATTCGTATTTCAATTGTCAATTGAAGAACTTTTAATTAACTCCACTTGATGCCTATTTCCACCAACATAGATTAACTTTAATCTCGGTTGAACTTACTCTTTGTCTTTTTCTAATCTTTAGAACTAAAAAAAGAAGAGTAAGTTGAACCGAGATTAAAGTTAATCTACATTGATGGAAATGGGCATGAATCAATTGTAAATCGAAAAGTTTCGATTAAATTTGCTTAAATTAATTGTTATTTGAATAATGTTTAATTAAATTCGCTCATTTTAATTGTCAATTAAAGGACTTTTAATTAACTCCGCTTTAATCAATGGTCAATTGAATAGTTCAATTGAATTCACCCACTTTGATTATCAATTTTAATAGTTTTTGTTTTCGTTAATTATATTAGTTTAAAAAATTTTGATTGACAGTATGAACAACCCTGCTCTAAAAGACTTCGTATCAACCTTATGGAATTTGGCTTTCTGGTCAAATTGGCTAAATTTTGAATATGTTGCAGTTCTCGTTATTTTAAACAAATGTCTCCATGAATTGGAAGACCAACTTCCTGCTATAATTAGTTTTGGCGCTACACGTCCTAGAAGGTTTATTTTATAAAAAATTGGGTTTTGTTTGTTATTAATATTATATCATTATCGATATATAATAAGTGTATATGCTTACGTGCGTGTGTGTGTGTGTATTTATGTATATACCGAATGTCGCATTTTAACCCTTTGTCCTACAACCACGGGTGAGACTCGTGGTAAGGAACTTGATCCATAAACAATAAGCACGAGTCAGACTCCTTACCACGAGTCTCACTTACCAAATTCCTTACCACGAGTCTCACTCGTGGTTGTAGGTCAAAGGGTTAAATGATGATCTCGGGAATATCTCTTAAAAAGTGCATTTTAGAAAAAAAAATGTTTCAGATGAAAGTGGAATGGTTTTTAAGGAGATGTATTTTGGTTATGTCGTTTTTTTTCTAGGTAGAGTTTATATCAATTGACTGATCTCAATACCTTATACGTTAATACTTTTGTACGTAGAACAATTAGAGGAATAATATTGTATACAAAAAATCGTATAACTTTATTTTTAAAAATGAAAGTGACTTTTGTATCTTTTTGGCGCTTCCACCTAGAAAAAAAACGACGTAATCAAAATATGTTCCTCTCGAAACCCTTCACTTGCATCTGAAACATTTTTCTTTAAAATGCACTGTTTAAGAGATGTTTTTGAGTCGTTTAAACTGGGATATATATAAATAAAAGCGCACGCGCGCGCGCGCACACACACACGCACACACACACACGCACACGCACACACACACACATCTATTATATGTCTTTCAATAATAATATAATATCAATAATATATAAATAAAAATCTAATTTTTTAAGAATGAATTTTTCAAGACGTATAGCGCAAAAACTATAAGTTATAGAAGGAGGTTGATTCAACGAAGACATTTGTTCAGAAGGATGATAACTATACATATCCAAAATTTAACCAATTTGACCAAAAACCAATTTCCATAAAGTTGAGGGGGTCTTGTATCAAAAAACCTGTAATTAAAATTAAAGCTATGAGAGAGAGAAGTACTTATATGATATATTAATAAACATAAAATTTAAATTTAAAAAAGTAGCTTAGAAGGTGTTTTAAGTAATTTTCAAATTTTTTAAATGTATTCTGTACTCACCAAATTTATTGTAATAAAGACCTTTTCAAAGCTCTCATTAACCGTCTGGAAACAAGGCAGTCGAGTTTGTCTGACACTTTATCACACTCTCCCTGTGCGCTATATCATATTTCCTTGAATGAGAACGATACATATTCTTATCGTGAGTAAAGTTGAACAGTATACATAATGCAAACAAATTTTCAAGAAAAAGAAGATATTTAAAAGATATAACCAATTAGCTCATTCGAGTAATGCAGCTCTAGCGTGATGACTGAGTTATGTACTTGGCGAAAGACGCTACTGTGTCTACTGAGTCTCGTTATCCTGATGCTTAAACGGTTGTAAATTTACTGATAGCACAAATCTCTCTTTTTATCACCGTTTTTAAACGACATGTGTTTATACTTTTGTAATATAAGAGCTAGTCGTTTTAAAACATTTTTAAATTTAGCCACCTGTTTATTTATGTCTTGTATTTTTTGTTATTATTCATTTTTAGGAATATTTATTATTTAATAATTAATTTACTCGATTTAAATAATTTATTTTATTCGTATATAATATGTCATCAAATGAAATAAGTCTAGTCTGAAATAAGTATTACTCACACATATACACGCACATATAACATTAAAGTCAGTAAGTACTAGCTAGTTGCACACTGAACACTATATTTTTCTAACATTTGGACGTCGTGTAATTCTTAATACGAATGAGAACGACACAATATACGAGCGAGAACGATACTTTCTTTATCTTTATTTTTTTGTATGTTCAGAAAGTAACATCTGGCAAATAGCTGCAGTGAAAGGAAACGATATTATTGCATGTCGAAACAGTCAAGGAACTCCTGTTTCAAGGGAAATAAGAAAACGAGCTCGAGGAGAGCTGTAATTATGGTGTGTCTGCGATATTTTTGGCGAAATTCTTATACTTTCCGTATTCGACGTCGTATGTGAAAGAGGCAACGAAAAAAATATATGCGCGACTGGCTCGTTAATCTTGTAAGAAAATTGATGTTATCCATTTATTTTGCATGATCGGCATGCCCCTACACTTCTCAGCATTTGACTAGAAAAGTTTACCTCGAAGCTAGTATGATGTATCTCTTGTCAGTCTGCTGTATACCTTCGACTAGCGTCGAAGTCCAAAAAGTCATGCAGGTACGAAAGTTAACAACAATATGAAGAATATCCTATCATCATCTCTAACGAAACAAACTGTAAATTCCTGAATGATGATATTTCTTTCATTTTTAGTCCGAAGCTGATCTCACTGAAGCATTAAACCTAGTAATTTGGAACAAACGATTCATGTCTTTTTTGGGCTTATGGCCGCTCAAGCCGAATCAGTTTCTATTCATATTTTTTACCATATACATGATAATTTATTGTATCATGGGAGCAGGTCATTTGATCAAGAATTTTGATCAGCCGGAAGTCGTCATCGCAAATTTAACAGATAACATACTGTTTGCAATGATATTGGGAAAACTGCTCATATGCAAACACAACTGCGAGATAATGGTGGAGTTTCTGAAAAACATCGAAACCGATTTCACGACAAGGATGTACGACAATGTCCAGGAGAAAATGGCGTATCTATATTATAACAAAATCGCACAGCTTTTCGTGAAGATATCGACAAGTATGGCAGGGACAGCAGCCACGATGTATTACTTAAGGACATTTTTCGAAAATTGGAGCGCGAGTAAGTACGACCATTATATATTTTCAAGCGTAAGACTTAAAGCTATATTTCATGATAATGGTTTAAAAAGCATTATCTATCGTTCATTATCTATCGTATCCTCGAGTCATTATTTGCTATTCCAAAGTGGAATGTACTATGCAGACACGTTGTGTTCCAACTCAATACTTTTAGATATTGAGATGCTATAAGTAATACAAATTTAATTTTTATTTGAAATAATTGAATAATACAGCACTGTCGTTTATTTTAATAAAACCGTATTTTGTGATGCTACAATTTTTATTTCGAATATTGAAATATTTTTAATTCTATTTATACGCTGTAAAAGGCTATAAGCTAATTTATAGAAAAAGATAAAGTTACTTGCAATTGGTTTCTTTCTGGGTCAGTTTGATCGACGATTACGCATATTCTAATCAGGCTATGGTTGGATAAATATAATAAAGACGATGGAAAATTAAATGTAACGTGATGTATATAGTTGTATCCGGTAATTTTTCGTATAAATTACCGTATCCGGTTCATCCCTTCTTTGAGATCAAGGACACTCCTACGTACATATGCATGTGCGCATATCTGGCGCTAGCTATAGTGATTATAGTATGCGGTTATGCTGGACCAGATGCTTTTGTACTCAGCATGGCTCTTCATGTTTGCGGTCAGTTTGCCGTTTTATCATGCAAAATCAACCATTTGTTAAGAGATAATGAGAATTATCATTACCACATCGGTAATATTGTGTTGAGACATTACCACCTAATAAGGTGAATTCATATTTAATTTATTACACGTAATAATAAGATTTTAACATAATAGTAATTTTAATTATAATGCGTTTGCATAGGTATATGTTACTCCTTATATAGATTATGTCAAGCTAACTATTATAGTCTGGTATCAGGAATAATACGATATTTTAACAATGCATCACAATTCCAGATTAGCAGAGATCTTAGAGAGCAATTTCAACATAATATGCCTACAGCAAACTCTGGGCACTTTATTGTTGCTCTGTTTCACAGTATATCATATGATTTTGGTGAGCTTTATGATTTGAAGGTTGGACTATTCACTTTACAATTTGCCTCTCCTATATTTAAAAAGATATTGATGCTAAATAAAACATTTTAGCAGTATTTTATAATTGGATCAAAAATGAGTGTTAAACTTTTTAAAAATTTGGTGCTTATTTTTCTTTCAAGTTTATTATAGATTTTATCAATTAACTCTGCACTAATTATATAGAAAATTATGGATCCTTGTGAAAAGCGTTTGTTTTTACGTATATGTTGCAGCCACAGACTTCTATAACTAGAGATGCGAGTTACGTATAAAGCGCATAATGCATCATTTGTTTTTGTTATTAATCAATTAATAAAGAAGGATAAAATGATACATCATGCACTTCACGCGGAACGCACCCTAGACTACTAATTCAATATGATAGGAAAGAAATGAACTTGATTCCGAGCTTTTCTTGTTTTAGTTTACATATGCCATATTCTTATGCACGCGTCCTGTCTGTGAGGTATCGCGTGAATTTATATGAAATCACTAATGTTATTATCTGTGTGATTTATACAGGGTGTCCTAAAATAATCGCCAAATATTTCATGGGCAAATAGAGCAAGTTAAACTAAATCGAAAAGTTCTCTTCCATTTTGCAATTTTCGCAATAGTTAACGAGATATTAATTACTAAAAATTATAGAAAATTGAACTTCAATAATTTTTTACTCAAATACTATCACCTTTACAGAAAAGCTGCAAGAGAAAATTGTTTATTTTCTTCTCATAGAAACTTTAAGAAGTTTTTCAGAAATTTTTTTTTCAGAATTTTTTAATACATATTTTCTCATGTTGGTAAAAATAAGAAAATGCGGTAATAAAAAGTTGATAAAAAATTCTGAAAAAATTCTTAGAGCTCTATGGAAAGAAAATAAACAATTTTTTCTTTTGCAGTTTTTTTCTGTAAAGTTGATAGTAAGTAAATTGAGTAAAAAATTATTGAAGACCAATTTTCGACAATTTTTAGTAATTGATGTTTTGTTAACTATTGCGAAAATTGCAAAATGGTAGAGGATTTTTCGACTCAGTTTAGTCCGCTCTACCTGCTCATGAAATATTTGACGATTATTTTGAGAGACTCTGTATATGTGAGAGTGAATGAACACGAATATGGCGCTGCTCAGCGCTGTCTTCAAACATAGAGGTAAAATCGACAGTCTATTTCTAGAAGTCTGTGATTGTAGCTTTTATAATGTGATAAACAAAAAATGTAAATGGATAATTTCACTAATTCCAGGTAGCAAGCTGTCGTTATTTCGACGTCGATGTTCGACGATCGCGAGGAATTTCTAACAATAAATATTAATAAAAATAAATCCGAAATTGCAAAAATTTATAAATACCTTTGTGTTATAGTTTCGTGAGTCATTCATAGTCCGTACTTCAAAAGGAATACTCGGCGTGATTGATTCCTGAGTAATGCGCGCAGGTCCTGCAAAGGACTAATTTATATATGTATGTTTACATTATGAGGTGACGTCTCGCGGTAAAGAGTGTCGTGATCATGCGTCAACATCATGATCGAGCATCGTTCTAGAATTTCAGAAGACCTAATTAATAAAATGATCGTGCTTTCAAATGCAGATTTGTAGTAATATTAAGGGAGGACATTTGCAAGCCTCCTTTGTGATTATTCGCGCTCAAACTCGATCGAAATCGCATCATCAAGTGAGTTCTTAATTATCGCAGTTTTTCTGTATAAGTTTTCGCGTATCGTATTCTCACGATTATTATCTACCTTATATAACGATTGATTCAGTTAACAAATTTATTATTGGTTTTATAGTGCGAACACTGACATTCGCTAATTAATCTTTTTTCCCAAGTAAAACAACAAGTCATTACGATATCACAATAATGTCAAAATGACTATTAAAATGATCATTAAAAGTCATTTTTCAATCATTTTCGAATCATTTTAATGTTATTTTGACGTTATTGTGACTTGTTGTTCTCCTTGGGTTTTATAACAATTTAGAGTTTCGCAATAATTAATTGATTATTATGTATCAAAACCTATTTTGAAAGAATTATGATCTTCCATCGCAAATCTTTAAGTATTTTTATACTTGGAGCGACGTTCTATATAAGATACTTTAGTTTTATAAAAATTACATCGTCACAATTAAATGTTAACAATCTAATTGTCTCACATAAGCGTGGAGCGTTGGCCATTTGGAATATGCACGCGGTGAACACGTAAACGCCACCTGTGAATAGAGTTTTCGCGTTTACAGTACGAGCTCACGTCGTGTTACTACAAAAATGTGGTGCGTCCTTTCCGCTATCGTGATGGATGGCGTGTCAGCTGTTTAAATAGTTCAAAAAGCATTTAATCATACATCATTAATTCTGAATTCATTTTGAGATACAAAAAGGATTCTTTTTCTGAAAATTTTTTTAAATTCTTTTTGCATTTGAAAATAAACTAAGAGTTGATGACATACTGAATTCTTTTTAATTTTTTTTAACTCTCTGTGTTATTTGGGTAATATTTACTTCGTCTCAGAAACCGTATAGATTCATCATAAGAATAACTAATTAATGACGTCAAATGGACGATACCTTGCTACCGTCAATAACACGAAAAAAATGACGTATTTTTGACGTCGACTTATGACGTTATGTACCTGTGACAAATCCACGTCATTTTTACGATGTTTGGACGTCATTTTAAACGTCACATTCGTCATAAGAATGACTAATTAATGACGTTAAATAGACGACACCTTGCTACCTGGGATAACTTATAATTATAGTGCAGAATCCTTTAAAATTTGAGTATTTTAAGTAATATACATGCACAATATTTCTTATAAATTAATTATTGTTCATATTGATATCTAATTAATGAACGGTTAAAATCATATTTTAGACATCGGCATATGGCGATGCAACTACTGTCCTAGCTTTTGCATTATATGTATCTTGCGTAATTAGTACAATTCTTGGTTATTGCTATATAGGGGAGTGCCTCATCACTGAGGTAATTACATAAAGTAGGATAATTAATTTACCTATCTGGATATAAAAAATATGTGATTAATCTATTTATACCTAAGCCAAAATGTCTGCAAATTTGTCCATTTTAATCTCATTTTGAAATGACTCTACTTAATTAGAGTACTAATTACTTGAATTATATGTTAAAAATCTTAAATAAATTAACTATAAATTATTTCCTAGAAAACACAAATCAGACAGAGTCCAAATTTGGGACATACAGCATCTTATAAGACATCTAAAAGTAACTTACAAGTCATTTTATGTCCTGATTTTGGACTTTGTGTAATTTGAATTACCTTTGTAAAATATATTAACATTGCTTGTTTTATTCAGAGCACAGCATTACGTGAAGCATTTTACAATTCCGATTGGTACAATAATTCTCCATCAACATCAAAGCTAATCAACATTTGCATAGTTCGATCTGAGAAACCATTAATGTTGACTGCCGGTAAATTCTGCGTATTATCATTGAGCACGTTTACGAGTGTAAGTCTATGAATTATATGTTTAAGGGGATCCTAAAGCCTCCTATTTTACCACGTAAGCACGTATAATTTTTGTATAAAAAATACTTTTTTCTCTTTCACCGATTTAAAAATCCTTTTCCAGAATTAAAGTATACGCATTAATACGTGTCTGGAAAGTGGAGTCTATGCCGAGAACGATAAAAAATTTCAAAATTGATATATTTTTTACCATTTTTTAGTGTAACGTGGCGTCTTAGGCCCAGTTCCACAACTCACGGTTAACTTTTAACCGAAGTTCAATTTGTTTCTCGAATTGGAAAGAGACAATGAATAAGTTAAACCTCGGTTAAGAGTTAACCGTGAGTTGTGGAACTGGGCCTTAGCTGTCAAGTCATGACAACATTTGCTTGATATGAAAGCTTTGCAACCTGTACGCACAAAATAGTGGTTTCCAAACACGTAGTTTACACGAACAAACAACGTTGAGTTCTTAGAATTAGACTTAGACGCTTTATCGCGACGAATTTGTTATATGAAAATTGACACGTGTACGTGTGACTATGTGTATCATAGGTGCGTGAGATATTACTGTACTAGTAGAAAAAGACATGTCGATGTGCGACGCGCATGAGCTTTACTTTAGGACCTTCTTAAATTGTATATTTTTCATTGTCTTGTTAATGCATATACTTCTTAGAGCATATTTTATTTACAGATTGTAAAAACATCGATGGCGTATGTATCTGTGTTACGCCAGTCTATATAAAAGTATTTTAGTGTTTAAAGTATTTTATCAAAATTTGTTTACAAAACAAAAATATATGATTATATTAACAATTAAATTATTATAATTTATATTAATTATAATTATATATAATAATTTATATTAACTGTTATATAATATGTCATAATTTATAAACTTAGTGCTAATTATCCATACCTATATTGTTTCAATAATATAACAAACAAAATATTCGTTAAAGTTCATAATATATTGATATTTGAAATTTATACACAATACTTACATCACACAGTAATAATCATATTTGAAATTTAGATTAACAGACCTATTTTTTATTATAACAAAATTTTAATTATATAGAATAAAAAGCAATAAAAGCAGTAATAATAAAAGAATTCAAATCCCGGAAAAAAATTTTTTATGCATGAATATGTATAAATATATATAAACATACATAAACACGCATAAATATTCATAAATATGTATAATTATATATGAAATATGTCCATACAACCTTCTTTCTTTCGTAAAATTACTTTTTAGTGTAATAGAAATAATAATACAATAGTAATGTGAAAACATAAAAAATAATTAAAGGGATAATTTTCGCACTATTCATTTTAGAAAAAAATAAGTTTGGAAAAATATAAAAAAAATTGCTCATACATAATTATACATGATTTTATATATAATTATATATAAATAATTTTTTTACGTTTCTTCAAACTTGATTTTTTCTAAAACAAAATTATAATTATTTATAACGTTTTCA